ATCCCTTTATCTAAAGCAATTTCTCTAAAGCCCTTCTCATTCATTCAACAGACATTTAACAAGCGCTACATTGTACCAGGTGCTGCTGGGGGAAAGAAACTGCATATTGCCCCTGCTGTAGACACAAGTGCCTTTCCGTCCCCCATTTCCACCTACCAACCAGCCGTTTCTTCCTCAAGTACACTATCCCGTAAAATCAAATGTTGCTTTTCCCTGTTGTCAAAGTTACCTATTACTTAAAATTTTAATACAATACTTACACTTCCTCAATGTCAACTTTATAGCTACTGATAAAATCATTCTTTTAGACCACCATAAAGTACTTCATTAACACATAGCTCCATTTTTCCAACCTTAAAAATCTGCAGTCAACTACCAATTTTTTGAGCCCTTGTTACTTTAGCATCGAGTTCTGCAACATTGTTTCTTTGTCTTATTTTTAAATACAAATGTCTAATCCTTTACCATTTGGGAAAATGCAACCCCACCTTTTTTGTGTGTTAATAAATGTCAGGTTTTTATCACTATCTCATCATTTTTAATTATGATACTACGAATGAGCGATCACTATTTTCTTGGATGAGACCAATTCATGATTTTGCTAATGATATGAAAACCAGAGTTTGAGAACATGTACTACAGAAATACTGTTGATGTTAGAGGCTTTCTCTCTAAAAATGCATCCCGTCTCTCCATTTCAAGAACAGTAGGTTACGGTCCCATGAAGTGTTTACTTTCCAACCTGAATGTATTACTTTAATATTTTAGCGTAGGAGTTATGGGTTCTGTATATATTGACACTGCTTGTCAATATCCACACATAAAGCTTCTTGTTTTGACAATTAATCTGAAAAAGTCACGTAGTCTGAGAGGGGAAAGCCTAATTTGGTGGAATATAATAAATGTCGGTTTCCATCATAGAATATATGCTTCTCAGGTTCAATTAACGTCTGAATGATTCTTTAATAGTAATTGTCCTTGATGTCCTTGTTGTTGCCTATGGAGTGGAAATCTCCTTAGTGCCAAAGAATGAGTTATCCCTTACATGACCCAAAAAGGGTTCTTCTTTCCATTTCCTTTAAGTGCTGTCTAGAGCAGCGGCAGGAATTGACAGAGGCCACAATCTCCAGATGGGAGCAACTAAGTCAGTCCTGCACTTTCCCTCCCATCTGCACTGTGACTCACCCTCCATCGTTTTTCTTCTCTCCCCTCCACGTTTCTCTTCTCCTTAGGGTTCCTTTTTTTTTCCTTAACCTATGACACTCCTGATTGTTTGATTTTCTTTTTTACGACCTACCAGGTAAAAACTGCCTTGTAATCCTCACAGCTTCCTTAAAGCACGACCTGCAACAGTGTTTCAAAAACCAGTATCACGGACTAGGGTGTGGGATAATGCTACATTTGTTAAACAGCCCTACAAAGTTTGGGTACAAAACGTGAGCTGATTCCGTCCCTCAACCGCAAACCAGGAGGACCGAAACAACACAGACACAAACCTCTAACCCGACCTGAGCGCTCCGACCGGGCGCACTGCCCGAAACGTGATACGCGGGGATGACAGTGCAACGCCAGGCGCAGAGTTCTGCCGGCCCCGCGATTCCAGGGCCACATCTGGCCCAGTGCTGACGGCGGAAGGGGCTCGGGTTTGCTCGGAGCTTCCCGTACATGTGGCCGGCGACCCCCTCCCCAGGCTCGGGCCGCCGAGGGCTCCCCGCTAGGAGGCGGGGGTGCAGAGCTTCGCTCCCCCCGCTCGGACGCAGGCTCCAGGAGGCAGCGGCGGGGAGGCCGCCTCCGCCGGGAGCGTTTCGGGAGCCGGGCGGGGGCGTCCGGGGCCCACAGGCGGGTGGGGGGCCGCGAGGCTGCGGGGGGCGCGCTGAGCCCGGGAGGCCGCAACAGGTGGCCGGGGCCGCCCGCCCGCCCCTCCGGCCGCCGGGGCCTGGCCTTTACCTGCAGCGGCGGCTCCCGAGTCCGGGGAGGGAGGCCCAGGCCCGCCGCACTTCCCCGCCGGGCAGGCCGAGCTCGCGGGACGCACGGACCGATGGACCGACGGACGCCTCGGGACAGCGCGGGGGGCCCCGCAGGTCCCCGCCCCGAAGGCCGGGGCACAGGCTGCGCCGGGGACACAAGGGCCAGCAGGGAGGGCGCGACCCCCGATCGGGCCTCGGGGACAGTCTTCAGCCAGCGACCCGCCGCCACCCGCCCTGGGTCCCCCGGCAGCGCGCGCGCCCGGGTCCTCGCGGCTTTTGGTCCCTCCCTCTCGCCGTCGCTCTGGCCCCGCCCCGCCCCGCCCCCCGCGTTGTCAGGACAACCCGAGCGACGCCTGCCGGGGAGGAGAGGCGTTACGAGGGGCGGAGACGGCGCCGGAGGCTCGGCCCACGGGCGGGGCGGCTGACCATGGAGCTCCAGAGTAAGGGGGCCCGGGCGGGCGCCGGGTGGGGGGCTCCCCGAACCAGTGCGGGCCTTTCAACGCCTTTGACCTGAAACTGCGGTTCTCCCCCCTCGCGCTTTTCTCTCTTGGGGAGAGAAGGGCGCCAGGTGCTGCCGAGGGTGTCCGGGTGGGTCAGGAGCGCGGACAGTGTCCGCTGGGAGCCGGAGGGACAGGCGAGCTCGGCAGTGCGGCCGCGAGGGTGCAGCGCGCCCGGGGTGTCCCCTCCTGAAATTACCCCACAGCGAATCCAGTTGTTACGGGTACTGTCGTCGTTATTTTAGTTAGTTTGGTTCATTAGTTGTAAATCGTCATCCTGCTTCTAAAATGTAAGCGATTGAACAAGCAACGAGGCTGGGGCTTGTATTCATTCATTAGAGACCCCGTTCTCTCCCTCAACCATCTTCGATTTAAAGGAGAAGAAAAAAAAAAGCAGAAAAAATAGTTTTCCTAAGTGTATTTGATTCATTGCTAGAGGTTCTACGAAGTAGGACACGCAAAAGAGTTTTTTTTTTCCACGATTTCTTTTTTCTGTTTCTCACATTGTTTGGCAAAAGTTATGCATTCTGGAGTTAGCAGATCTAACAGGAACTCTAACTTTTTCCCAAACTTCTCTAGCGCCGTAGTGCTCGGCCTTTCTTGCCTAAGTTAATGTTTTATTGCCCCTTTTGCTCCTAAAATAACTGTCTTCTGTGGAGACCTAAAAGATCTTAAACCTTTATGCAGTTTGACTCTTAAAACCAAGTCTTGCCTCTATAATTTCAGAAATGGAAGTACTCAGACCCCATCCATTCTCTGGGAGAAATGCTGGCTTATTTAAAAGGTTGTTAGTTTCCAACCAGAAGATTTTAACTGAGGAGAAAGCTTACATGTTGTGAGTTATACTTGCTTGAGTTGGTTTGATACAGTATCCTGCCATTTGCACGTGTAACTCTGGAGTCTACATTTTATCTAACCTATTGAAAGAGAATTAACAGACTACAATACTAAAAATTTTGTCTCATGTGAAACGGATGCCAGGCTGTGTTCGTTCTCTATTTAGAGAAGAAATGAATGGAAGTGAACTATTTTTTAAAAAACAGCAACTTTATTTCTTCAGGTTTATGTTATTTAAATGCGTCAACTATACATTTCCAGTCCTTAAGAGCTCACTGCCTTGATGCACTCGCTCATTCACAGTTTCTGTTAGGTTCCAGACACTGGTCTAGGGGTTGGGGGTTGACCAATGAATGCAGCCCCCCTAGGATCTGAGCCTGAAGCGGGGAGGGAGATGGCCAGAAGGCTTCCGGTCGGAAGGAGTACTAGGCTGTAAAATGACCAGGGGGCAGTGAGGGAAAGGAATTCCAGGCAGAGGTCCTGGGCCTGAACCGGCTGTATGGGCTCGAGTAGGAAGATTAGTAGTAAAGCTGAAGCTAGGAAGACTGGGGGAGAGGGGCGTTGAAAAAAAAGGAGAGAGAGAGTGAGAGCTAGAGAGAGAGAGAGAGAGAGAGAGAGAGAGAGAGAGAGAGAGAGCAAGAGAGAGCAAGAGAGAGAGAGAGACAGAGACAAGGCTGAAAAAGCCAATAGGAGCCAGATCATGAAGGTTTGGTAAAACTAGAACATCTATTACACATNCAGCTTACACTGTCGCCGGCCACTCATGGCAGCCCAGCTCCAGGTTGAGCTGTTGTTCAGCATCTTAGCTGTGGAGGGCAGTGTTCACTGGCCCTCATATGTGGGATCCGAACCGGGGCTCTCTGGCGTCCCAAGCCAGTTCTTAACCATCACGCCACTCGGCCGGCCCTGGACAAACATTTTAAAACATCGATGATTTTATGTTTATTTTTATTGTTAGTTTCTATTGATAAAAAATCATGTTGGTTTTTCCATTTGCTTATGGTATAAAATTTCAAGTCAACTTAAGAACGTATAAGTCAGTAGTTTTACAGGTGGCAGATACTTTGTGCTTCTCCGTATGTAGCAGGGCAGAAATCGGAGGTGGGATGGGGATGGTGTATTTGGTACCATCGCCCTTGTGCGCCTTTTCCTGGCCCAGTGAGGGGCGAGGAGAGTTTATCGCTGCCCCCTTTTGGCTAGGGCCTCTATCTGGCCAAGGCACAGTTGCTCCCTAGGAAAGGTACCATTGGCTGAGAGCAGCAGTGCACTACTACTAGGCAAGATGCAAAAAAGATGAAATCTGCCTTAGGTTTGCCATTCTTCTGCAGTGAATTCCTACTTACCACTCAGCATGGTATTAGGGATGCACATAATCGAATGTCAACAAATTTATGAATTTTCTGGTTACAAGATTAAATACAACCCGTGTCTGTCTGTCTTCTCTGATAGATGGGAAGGTAAATGGTGGTATCAGGGGTGCTTGATAGGGTTTTGGATTGAACGCACATGAGCTATTATGCAGCTATAACTGGGGAGGGCCTCAGTTTCAGAAAGAGTACGATGCTTGGAGGGTAGGTTTCAAGGGACAGGACAGAAGCAAACGGCACAGAGCTGAGAGTGGCGGATGGAGGAGGGTGAGCTTGGGGAATATTCCCCATGCAAAGTGAGGGCATCAGGCCACAGGGCATTTCGTGGTGGTGAAACGGAGCAGAGCTGATAATTTGCTCAAGTCGCGCGGTCCTCTGCCTATGGGACAGAAGCAGGAATCAACCAGCCCCTGACTGTGGGTGTGGGAGATGAAGACTGCAAATAGCTGAACAGCTTAGAGAGAGAGAACAAGAGCGATCCAGGGTGGGAGGGTGGGGAACCACGGCCTATCCGAGACAGCAAAGAACTAGTCTGGAGGGGCGTTGATTTGGGGCAAAAGGCAAGTTCAATGTTAACGTATTAAGTGTGAGGCCTTGGGGGCCAGTGCATGAGGCTGAGAGGATCAACAACAAAAAGCTAAGCAAAGGTGCCCGGGGTTGTGGTCTTCCCAGGCTGGAAACAGCAACTCCTCAGAGCTGTTGGGGCGCAAGGGAGAGGGACAGACAAACAGACTGGCTGACTGCACATAGCCAAGGAGAAAAGCGAAGGCCCTAGCCAGTGAAGTTATCTATTGTAGAACAGTGTCCTCTTGTCTGTAGCATTTCATAAATGTTGGTTGAAATGTTTGTGAAAACCCGTGTAGACAAGGGATGTCATAAACTTTCGAGATGTGGTGAGATTTCAGCTTTTGGAGGTGGAGATTTGATGGCACGTTTGACTTTGGAATGTGGTCTTAGCAGGGAGGTAAAAGAAAAACCCTTCAAGTTCTTGTAGTAGTCAGTTTATCTGGAATAGAACCCCAGACTTTACTCTGAGCCTTGCTATGGCTGTTATTCAATACATAATTTTTTATAAGCATGACTTTCTAGTTCCCTTTTCCGCGGTAAATTAGAAGTCAGCAATAGCCGTGCAAAGGCTTGTCAGCGCAACGGGAGATGACAGCCACAACCTGGCTGGGAGGGAGGAGACTGGACAGAAGGAGATTGCGCCTGATTTCCGTCTGTGACTAAAGAGCAGGCTCGTTAGAGGTGGGACAGGCTACGTGGTAAACAGACGCAGTGGGACAGGTCACGCACACAGCTCCTCCGGGCGATCCAGCCAGGCTGGCCAGCAGCATCTCACGGAGAGGCGGGTAAAGACAGCTGAAGCTCTGAGGGGCTGCAGCCTAGGCAGTAGGTGGCAATGTTGGGCCGGCAGATGAAGGTCTCAGGGACGCCTGGCTATGCACAGGGATGGAGTTGTGGGCAGAATTCCAGTGCTGGATGAACTAAGCTGATCTCAGAACCCAGTGGAAGGAACGAATGGATGGAGGAGGGCAGGGGAGGACCAAAACGAGGGTAGCTACTGTTTGTTTTGCACTGCGTGCTAAACTCTGCACAGAGCACCTACCAGCATATCATACAGTAACTCAGCTCCCCGCGTGCCCTTTTTTTGGCAGACGAGGTAGAGACATTCCAAAGGTAGCTGGAATGTGGCCGAACCAGGATTCCACACCAGTCTGACTGTGCACAACGCACGCTGCCAATCGCTAGGTGACAACTGGTGCAGCTCAAGTTCAGTTGGTGCCCACCCTGCAGGTAGTAGCCACAGGCCTCCCTGGTGTGGGGCCCAGCACCACCCTGTTTGTCCTCCAGGTCCATGCAGCGCTGGAGTCCAGCTGGCACCCATCCCCTCTGCCTGGGGGTTTGGCAGGGCCTCTTTCTCCCTCCCTCTGCCTCCTGTTTTGACAGACACACCCTGCCTTGGGGCGGTTTTCCCTGCATGGTGCATTCCTAGCTGGAAGTCATCCTATTTCACTCTGCAATCGCTTTCTGGGTCATGTTCCTTGGCTGCATTGATGGTCGATTCTTATCTCCGCCCCAGGGAACTGTAAGCTTCGTGAAGGCAGAGGCCATGTCTGCTCTCTCACCACTGGGTCCCCATAGCTTAGCCCAGAGCCTCACACCCAGCAGGCCTTTAACTGTTTGATGAGTGACTATGTGAATGACTACCGTAAATTCATGTGAATTGTCTCCTAGTTCTTCCTTGCCAGTGGTATGTTAGACCACAGCCCTGCCTCCCAGACAATACTTAATATTGTCAGAGACTGAAGGCTTGCTAATAGCTTAAACCCCATTCAGGGGTAGACCAAGGTTAGATCAAGATTTTATTGGTTCTGAAGCAATTTGGAGAGCCTTCTATAAGAAAAAGAACACAAATTATAAACACAAATTGGTTATGAAGGTGTATATTTATTTAGATTGACAAAACACAACTAATTAAAAATATAACTAGCTGACAAATACCATAAATGTTGCCCAAAGCCAGAAAAATATTGGGTTGTCGGAAAAGTCATGACGCATTTTTGCAATGA